ACCACAATTACATTTAAATAATCAGTAGCTTTATACCGTTCTTAGAGAATTCTGGTAGTGTATTGATCCTATTCATATTTAGAGTTCGTTTGTGTTAAAGGTTCCCTTTAATCACACGAGACCTGGAAGTAAGGCCATGAATTATTTAAAAACTATATGGTTGATTTATTTTGATAGCATGATATGAAAAAGTCTTTATCGAAGATGTTTTGATATAGTAAGTCTCATAATTATGAAATCTTTCATACTTAAATGCTATTCAAGTGTAAAGTTCAACACTTTCGACTATTTACAGCATATCGTTTTTCACACAAAAGTTGACAAGAGTGTTCAGACCATGAGTTATGTATTTAATGTAGAAACAGTTAAAACGTACGACATCAATCGTAGATGCATGGTGTCGTATTGGATGGCTACTGGCTTCTAGTTGGACCTCATGAATTAAGGAAAGAGGTAGCTAGAAAAGTCATGTTCAACCGCAGTGTCGAATCAATGAAGATAGGAAGCCGTATCAGTCCGAAATCATGCCAGTTACTGAAAAAGATTCTGATTCAAAGGTTAGACGTTTGAGATGCAACCCATTCATTCATCTTGTCTTCCCTGCAAGGACCACTGTGAGTGACCTGCTGTGTAGAAAGTGTTACCGCTATGATATGTCGTCATGGGTTTTGTAAGTGGATATCACATTTAATAACACTTTTCATCATAGATGTCAAAAAATATTCAATGAGAACGTTATTACTATGTAAATAACAATGTTGTACTAAGTGTACATCACATACAGCATAGAAAAGATCAAGTTTAACTGCCTATAATTGAGCGTGAATTGTTTCATTAATAACGTTTAGGTAATTTTTTTCATTTTATTCGTGATCAGTAAGTTACCTAGTGTTAGGTCTATCGAAGCGTGCAAGTCACCCGATTGAGATACGCGCAAAACCGAAGTTTCCCAAACAACGATTTGCCTGCAATAGTGGTTCGTTATCGAATAATACACAAAATTTAGTTACAAACCTCAACTTGTGAAGCGTCTGGGGCGCTTAAACGCGTCCTTCAAGCATACAAATAAAAAGGCTTCCTGTAACAGTAACATAAAGAATAATTGTAACATACGATAGTACAAAAGACACCTGATAGCTGTGTCTAAATTTAATAGCAGTTTACGAACAACCAAAACCCGAACCGAGAGCAAAACAATATGGAAACTGTTGCGTTTAAACAAATGCACAAAACTGTGGATAACAACTACAGTGATTAAGGTATAGTAATTAAAATGACAAATACAATGGTAGGTACAATAAACATTATAAGTACATGTGAACATTTCAGAGTCTTACAGTACAACTTGCGTTACAAGATAAGTGCGAAAATTGGTAGGAATACAACTGCTTACTGAATGTAAATAAGTAGTATAAAACAATATAAAAAAGAGAGGAAACGGAACGAGTAGGAACAACGTAAGACAAACTTAATACCGCCCCTCAAAGATAGTATGTCTTTCCTTACTTTCGCTGATTATATATTAACGTAAAAACGTTCAGAAGTGACAGTGGTACGATTTACTCTAGCCAAAATCAATCTGAAAGGTCCCTTTATCCTCCACTGTTCGGTCGTTCGCTCCTTTTAATAAACCAATTTTACGTATGTCTCTAATAATTGTACCTTTCGACGTTCTGATCTTCGCTTGTCTCACTAGATCATCTTCTCCTGGGTCAATACTTACCACTAGGCCTTTAGGCTAGTTATTTCGTGCATAACTGTCTCCAATAATCAAGACTAGATCACCAACTTGTAAATCTCGTCTTCTTTGTGTCCATTTTGTTCGCGTCTGTAAGAGTGGTAAATACTCCTTTATCCACCGACGCCAAAATGTAGTCGCCAACAGTTGAGCTTGTACCCATTGTCGGGAATAACGCTCGCATAGGTTTATTTCAATCTGATGAATGTGAGGTTTTCTTAACAAAAGTAAATTATTGGGTGACAATGTCTTGAGTTGTTCTGGGTTGCCGTAAACTGGAACTAAAGGTCTATCATTAAGTATTCTTTCTACTTCAGTCAAATAAGTGGTGAGTGTCTGGTAGGACATAGTTTTCTCGCTAGATACGGCGCTCAAAATTCTACGTGTTTCTTGTTAATCTTTCCCATATTCCACCACGATGACTTGCGTAGGGAGTATTGTGATGCCATTCTATGTTCCGACGAATAATTTCTTTAGCTACTCTATTATCCTTAAAGTCTGGTAATAGATGTTGTATCTCCTTCTCTAACCCAACTAAAGGGAACACAGATGTAGCTGTCTTAAACTTCTTATCGTCATCAGCAGACTGAATAAAACAATCATCTTTTTGACTCTCTGTTTCACACTTGATGTCGATAGAACTATCAGCAGACGCCACTACAGAAGATTTAAGTTTCGTATTTGCAGGGAACTGAGTTGTTGTTGCTTTGACACCAATTGATGACTCGTGTGGTAGTGCCACAGAGTTAGTATTATGGTTCACGTCAGAAACCTCAGCGCAGAAATTAGGAAAATCTGGTTTGGCAGAACACATGGTAGATGTTTTCGAAGACACTAACTCGCCACTATCTGTTGAAGGAATTCTCATACTCATACTTTGTTGCCAACAGATGAAATGATTCAAAACACTAAGTATGACTAGGACAAAGATGTTGGCCACATGGTTAGAGACAGAAAACTAATCTTTCTTATTGCTTTAAAAATTTTTTTTCTGTTGGTATTTTCGTCTTTTGATTATTAAGAGTTCAACAATAACTTCGATTACTAAAACCATTATTCTTAAAAGTTAGTTTTTCTGTAAATGTCCTCAGAGGTTCTGTATATCCAAAAGAACAATATTTTTGCTGTTGAGGAGTGCTTATTTTCCCTACTTTAGGGATTATATATGCTCCGCCTGGAGTCCCTCCGGGGGCTACTGACGGTCCCAGGCCCGGATAAAGGAGGAGGGTTGGGCATGGGGTTAGCGACCCCATCCCGTAGAAAACTAACTCGCTAAAAAAACGCTAACCAGAAAAAATTACTCATTGTAGATTACTTAATATTTATTTGAACACATAAATACTGGTACAACGAGGCATGGAATACATATGAGACACACAAGTCACTTGATTTGTGTGTGGGCTAAGTTACTACCTTGATGCCCAAACCGAAGTGGGTGGTTTTTTATAGGGCCACACCCCGAGCCTTTGACCTAAAGGTATGATCCACAATGGAGTGCAACAAAGTGAGGAGATGCAATCCCATGGTATCCAGTGAGCAATAATTGGTTCATACGTCATTTGTTCGTTCAGGATACTAGAGCTCATGTACACAATTGGTTGGGAATCAGGATTTTCCAACAGCTTTAGGCGGATCCTCCATATCTATTAACACGGATAAAGCGCCGGACATTGGCTTTTCGTCCTCTCAATTTCGTAAACAACATCCCTTTAGAGAGAATACAGTCAGTCGTGCTTCCCTGGCACGTAGTCATGTGAAAACTTTTCAAGAGGGAAAGTGGACTCTTTTCACCCTCGGCCATATCAGGGCATTTATAGTAAGATGATTGATTTTTGTTCATTGTCAAAAGTAAACAATGTTTTATGAGACACCACTTTAACAGAAACCATTTCAACAAATTAATTTCATCGTATGTTCAATTTAAAGGAAAGCCGTCCAGTTTATGATTTCAGTGAAAACCTATATATCCTGGACTTCATTTAGTTTTATTCATACAGCATCTTATGTTGTGCTTACTGAGGTCATTTTTGTAGACGGTGAGGGGAAGTTAAAAAGATCACTTTTAATGATTCATTCATAAATTCTTCGCTCTGAATTTTCATCTTTATTACTGACTGTAAAATATTTTATTTACACATACTGTGAATATATTCCTGCAGTTAGCTGCCCCTTAAGTTCACATAGAGTTTACTAAAACAACTTTATTTCCTCAGTGGAGTTTCGTTCACTGAGCTGGATAGTTTGGTCCTGGAGTTTTTAGTGTTTTTCTGAACAACATCCTTGTTTTTCAATGCTGCAAGTGTGCTGTAGTGTTTTCTTTACCGCTTGTATAAGGTTTGTACGCAGTTGCTTTTTTGTGTTCTTCGGTTCTTGCTACTGTAATTGAGAATTTAATCTGTGTGAATCGGCTTCTGATGTACTTAAGTCACCAGTTTTCCTGTGAGGGTTCTGATGTCTAGTACGTCTAAGAATGATATTTTGTTGTTTGACTTCTTTTTTATCATAAATTTTGTCATCGAAGACATTGTCAACCACTTATTACAATGGATACTTAAATATATTATATGACTGTTATGTAATCAGGAAACACAAAAACACTTGAATAGTTTCATCACCTTCAGGGCAATCTGAAGATTGCAATTTCAAGAGTTTGTTTATAAAATACTACAACGAATTCAAGGTTCTAGGGTTGCTTCCTTAACATCTTTCAAATTCTGTATGTTCAAAGTAAGGCACTGTTCTTAGCCTGATATGCACGTTCACATACTGTGAGCGATATACCAGCAGATTGTAAGGGACGATCTAAACATTGAAGGACATCATCTTATAGTAATGAAATAAGTGACTCGATAGTGAACCCACAAATCATCATTCCTAGTATTAAATAAATAGTTTTTTACTAATTTATGAACAAACATAAGACCAAAAATCAAACCACTGGTAGATACAACCAAAATAAAGAAGTAAACATTGATAGGTTTAAGGTCACCAGGAACCAATCAACAACGAGGTTTGCAAGACAACCTGTGAATCATATGTGCAGGAATTTGAACACTTCACTTCTATCTGAAGTTAATACTGATGATATCATTCAGAAGGACGATGAAATCTCCACTACCAAATTATCTAGTTCAGAGGTTTTTTTAGAGTTTAAACAACTTTTCTTCAAACTGACTTATATTTAGTTTTTTTTATCAAAAGTTAACATCAACAGAATAACTCGTTTACACAACTTTACCATTGACATTTTACAAGCAACAGCAAAAAAAATTCCAAGATCATATCCACTCATTATCATACAAGTGAATGAAACAAAATCCATAAAGCGGATGAACATCATTTTAGACTTTAATCAAAGGAACTAATGGTGGTAATATTGATATTGAATGTTGAAATATATCTGGGATTTCTCTTTTTTTCAAAAGTTTTAACAAGGTATTACCATATTCACCATGATACTTTTGTTTGACATCTTCTGACAGATCTATTCCATAGATTACTTTATATAACTTATCTATTGTATGTAAATCGATCTGTAATATGATAAAGTAAGAGTTACAAATAAAACTTATTACTTGTGATGAAAATGTAATTAGAACAAAAAATACAGGACAAAATGTAGATATTTCATACACATAGTTTATGTTATATCCGAGCGCAGATTAAATCACTAGTAACTTCTGAGACATAATAATTAGATTATGTATATTTATATTCCTCTTATTATAAGCTTTATTTTGACCTATATTTTAGTATTGTACGATTTATGGTTCTTAAGTTATGTTCAGTTTATTGACTACTGTCTCCCACGTTCACAGTCACTTTTTGGCTTTATTGTGTACAAATGTTATTTCCTATTTTATGGTGCGTTGCTATCTGTTTGGTTGATATATAAACCCAGTATGTCTGAAATAAATGATTCGATTCGAATATTGGGAGCTGGTACTGTGTTCTAAACTCAAGTGGACGGGCCAGACGGACATAGGACCAATAAGGACGCTAGACTGCTAATAGCGGTCGAACGTCATTGGTTTGGCACAGTGCGAAGATTGTATAAGTCGTATTTTGATTGTTGGATAAATCACGTGATAAAAAGCCGGACATAAATTCATAACAGTTCCCTTTATTATTTTAATAAGAGAGAGAGAACGAAGCGATCGCAATCGAACGTCTAAAACCAGATCGATGTAACCAAGAAGAGACAGTAATGGATCTTTCTTTGCTCTGGTAACATTAAACTTCCTTTTTATTTATTACATCATTCATTATTTCAACTCGTTCTGAAGTTTAGATTACATCATTATCATTTTTCTTCAATTCATATCTTTCTTTATTACCATTATTCTACTTTTAGTACCTTCGTTACATAATCAACTAATGGTTGTTAACTTCATAAGTTTAATCACTATTTCAATGTTCTGGAACTTTCCCTCATTAACTCTATCGGGATCTTCGCTACATCATGATACCTATATTCATTCTTAATCACCCCCTAATGTACAAGAATTGTAGTAAACAAAAACACGAGTGGGAAGAATCAAATATATCTGGACACAAAATTACAGAGTATGTCACTAAATCTGAGAACCATACAGTAAATAGTTAATTTGCAAAATATCAATCAATTGTCTAAATCTTAACTACTACTTTGTAAATATCAGTCCATCACCTTAGATTGCTTTGTTCATGCATTTTCATACCAAATGTTTTCAGTTTCCGTTCTTTCCTTCTCGATCTTCTACTGAAATACATTCTACGACTGACCATCGTTATATACTACTTATCTGGATACAAGTAGCTCACATCACATTATGTCAATATCTGTAATAACGTTGATTTTCAAGTATTTTTAGGTTTTAAGCAACTTATGATAACCTAATGAAATAAAATGAATTTATGCTATTCTGCACTAATCTTTGTTCTTGCTCTTTAGAAAAGTAGATAATCGGTAGTTTATAACAATTTTCAAAAAAATAACCAATATCAGGTACAAAACGTAATCTAATCTGATTATCAGCTTATAAAACACAGTCTTTAATTTGAATGAACTCCGCCTGGAGTCCCTCCGGGGGCTACTGACGGTCCCAAGCCCGGATAAAGGAGGAGGGTTGGGCATGGGGTTAGCGTTCCCATCCCGTAGAAAACCAACCCGCTAAAAAAACGCTAACCAGAAAAAATCATTCAAAATTAATTTGAATGACACATATCTGACTGAGAAACAGTGAAAGTTGAGAAAAATGAAATATCATTCTTAGAGTTATTACATACGTAAGCAAATGATTTTTTAAGCAAAAATGGATGGTGGTTATCAGTGGAATCCATGATGCGCGTTTCGTCCTATTTGGGACTCATTCACTGGATGTATCTGCATCCGAGTTTAGATTCGCTCTGGGAATCGAATCAAGTACTGTTCGCTTCAATCGTTTCCGCGTTGTCCACTTAGCTACTGAATCCTGTTAGCTACCTGCTTGTGCAATGGGGTGAAGTTTAAATTCATTTGGTGTTGTTTGCTTGTATTTTCCTATTTTTGTTTATGACTGCTATTGATCAGTCTCTTGTTGGCACATATACAACAGTTCTGCAAGCTTTATTCTTCCATCTAATTACATTGAATAAATGCAAACATTGAAAATATTTTATGTATTCTGCATAAGCTTACCTCAGAACGAAAAATAAAGAAACGTTGAACACTCAAGCTATCAATAAGTTCTTTATGAAGCTCATCATGGATTAACGTAGCAAAATACATTGGTTTATTAATGGAATAATTATCTAAAATTAAATATACATGGATAAGAGTTTTATTGAACTACATAACGGTAGTCAATAAAACATTATACTAACGATTAATATAATTTGATTAGTGTGATACTGTGGTGTGTGCTACTTATATTGACATAAGTAGTATGTGATGTTAATCGTGAACAAAAGGTCTGACAGCTGAGAGACATGAGGATCAACCTAGTAACCATGGTATTCTGTACTTTATAAAATTTCAGAAGCAAAATTGTAAGATGATAGTTCAATATCTTTTTTAGTATTCCAAGATTTTCAGGAACTGCTATAGATAAACGGTTTTTACAATCGTATTTACTATGTCAACCTGATTTATACTATTGATGACAAATGGTGATATAGTTTGTTCACTCAGTTAGTGTTTACTAAATACGGAAAATAAGCCAAACGTTTTGTAAGTATAGGGTTATGGAGACTATCATAATTTTGATTGAGATGCTGGCTCAGTGGTCTGGAGGATAGCTGTCCATGCGTGAGACCAAAGGCCTTATGTTTAATTCCAGCGAGCAGCATCATGGATGAGCACTGCTGAGGAGCCTCACAATAGAACGGAACGGCCTTCCAGTGCTTCCAGATTTTGAATGGTGATCTAGCATCAACCGGTTCACTAATGTTTAACTGGCTTAAACGTTTATGTTTAATCAGAATAAAATACTTCTTGAAGACAATTTTTAATTGTCTTCGTTGGAATTATTGGTTTTAAAAATATGAATCCATCATAATTTTACAAAGCTAAATCTATACAAACAACTGAACATCTACATATGGAGAATCATTATAGGAAACCATGAGAATTCGGAAAATATTAAAAATATGCTAATACAGAAGTTCATAAAAGATCTGACAGTTGATAGATATTTGAAACTAAGAGAGAAATGATAAGAGGAAAAAGATAGAAGTTATTAGTGATTCCAGTTTTATGAAGAGGTACGGAAAGCGATAGTTTGTTTTTTCGAAAATCTCACCAACAAATCTATACTCTAGATGGTGGTTGGAGGTAGTCAATAGGAAATCCTGAACCCAGGTTTCGTGCAACTTGGCACTCCTCAGCAAGGTGTACCTGTAATCTTGTGGGAATTGGTGTTACCTGACGGATTTGATCCCGTGTCACCCAACTTCACATTCAGAGACGTTACCACTTGGTCGGTAGCATTCGATCTGCACTAAGAAGGACTTGACACAAATGACATTGATCACCACCCAGTGATCAATCAATTGTGATTAAATCTATAGTCTCTCGTATTCGTCTACGCGGGACATAATCAGAAGCTTATGAGAACAAAGAATTCATAGACGTTGTTAACAAAAAAGATTGTGTTTTCATTTTCACTTGATCACACATATTTTATGTACAAATCGTTTCTGAAACTTTTACTTGAAGAGAAATATACTCGTTCCCTTTTTGATGGAGTTTCGTGCGCTAAGCTGGATAGTTTGGTCGTCGTTCTTTTGAACGACATCATCAGCACAAACTTCTACCAGCTCCGAAAGTAAAACTCCATCAAAATCATTCACCTGAGCTACAGATCTTCTCCACGATCTCATACTCGTTCTCTTTTCGTATTGTGATCACAAATTTAAAAATTGTTATTCAGTTTGTTCTTTGATCTTTTTTCCTTTGTTAATTTTAAATGATCTACGTAGTATTCTGATTAATTCTTACGTGATTTATATGACAGTATATATTTTTGCTGGTTAACGTTTTTTTAGAGAGTTAGTTTTCTACGAGTCGAGGTCACTAACCCCGTACACAACCTTTTTCGTTTACCCAGGCTTGGGACTAGTAATAGCTGCAAAGGAACTCCGGGCAGAGTAAAACTGTTAAACATGTTTAACAACGTATTTGGATGAGGTTGATATTCATGCGTTATTCTGTAGTTATGCAGGAGGTATGTTTTTAAGTATTCAAAATGCGGTAAATGATAATCATAAATTGCACTTATTCGTTGGTATATACAGGTAAAATGAGGTTGATTCAATAAAAAAAAGCATACTAGATCGATAATACTTACAAGTTGCTAATAAAATATCGTGGAGTTGACCTGACGTCCTTCTTTCAAGAACTTCACCAAGTTGTCTAACGGGTTTCTTTGAAATTATATATGGATAGAAAGAAAGAAATTAATTAAAAAATCAGAAAATATTCAAAGATTTACAATCTGTCTCCAAAGATGGTTATATTTTGAAATATCGGAAGGGTTTCTGTGGAGATTGTAGTAAATTCAATAGTTCAGATCATCAGTCAGTTAAAGCTAAACCATCATGGGAAATTTCGAAGTACTGGACGGCTGTTTTGTCCTGGTACAGCAGTGCGCATCCACGATCCTGCCTCGCGAGATTCGAACCCAGGACCTATCAGTCTCGCTCTCAAGCGCTTAACATTTAGACCACAGAGCCGGCATCCAAATAATCACGAAGTTAAGAAAATGACATTTATGAATCAACTTTATAGTATCAGTTAACAGACGTACTTTTCTATAAATCATGTTTAGTTTTTGAAATTGAAATGAATCAAGTTTACATAGACGTTCACCAAGTTGCTGTCCCACATCGTTGCTGAAATCAAGAAGAGAACAACATTCAAAACAACATTCTTCACAGAATTAGTTACATGATGTTGATAGGAATTATATATTATCAGAGGATTCAATGTTTCGACAATCAGTAGGCTGACATAAGAAATTCCCAAACATATTTCGATTTCGATTGAGATCATAAACCTATTGATGTTAGATCACCATTAAAAATCTGGAAGCACTGTTTGGCCGTCTCGTTCTGTTATGGGACTCCTCAACAGTGAACATTCATGATCACGATTATCGTCTTAAGCATCAATAACTTAACTGAAAAAAACTTGTTACTAGTAGAAAAACTTTGGAATTAATGTATATTCACTCGTCAGTTGTCAGTGAATGATTAGAAATACATAATAAAGTAAGGTTTTTTAAAAGTGTGCATTCGTAAAGGAAACCCACCATAAAATCTTTGTTTCTAAAACTAAAACATAAAGTGTTATGTGTAATGGACTGAGTAATAGAACATAGTTTCTCTATTGTTAGTAAAATGAGATAATTTACAACCAGATCATTTGAATACTTGTGACTATTTTTCTATGGAATCCTAACGATCACTTTGAGAGTACACACAAAGAATATGTTCGTTGTTATAGACTTTTTTAAGTGACTGTTTACGACAATACGAAATCTCTCAAAAGATCATTATCTGAAAGAATTAATGGTGCTTTTGAACAGCATATATGTCAGCTGACGGCTTAGGTAGAGTTTGTGGTGTGACTATAATTTATGAACGACCTTCGGGCAACACAAAATTGACCTTGAGAGTGTCCATCTAATAACTAAAACTAAATGAGTGTTATAAACCAGTGTGAGGAATTCGAATTATGATTTACAATTGATGGTTAAGGTTAGGAATTAGATTTCGGGTTTTCATCACGAACTAACAACAGCTATAATACCAAAACGCTACTTGACCAAATGGATAAATTAATTTAGCGTTAAAATCCAAGGCTTGTTATCTTATATCTAATTGCTTCGTCCATAAATTATAGTCTTGCCAAACAATAACATTAAGATTAGAACATTTTACAGCAGGTGAAAGCACATTTTCTTCCGAATTCCATTCACCATTTATGAAACAACAACATGCCAAGCAGACTCGATGAACGTTAAGAATATTTAAGCATCTTAACTGGAATATATTACAATGCAAACAATACTAAAAACCAAAAACGCCTAAATGATGTATAAAATCATAAAACTATTTTTCAATTTTCCCCCAGATATGGACGTACTTCGAATCCAACACGTTCATCAAGTCATAAAATACCTCAACCACTACTGTGTTGTTAACTATCGGTTTACCACCTCGACCTTTTATTGGATATTCTTGTTTAGTTTCATGTTTTCTTGTTTCATCTATGCAATGTAAAATAGATTTTACAGATTTTCCAAATTGTTTCTCTACCGACTTCCAGATTGATTCTGTAGAATCTGTAATGTAATAAATAGTATTTGTAGAATTCACTTTATTTATTGAATGATGAATAAAAGCATAGTATTTGAAGGTAGACTACATTTTAATATTTTTCATTGCATCCTATTTTGTTTTTTCGAATACAGCCCTCAAATGCCCTGGTACGGCCGAGAGTGGGTAGAGTCAACTCTCCCTCAGGAAGCGCTCTCCCATGGCCAATTACATACAACCACTGACAGGAAAGTCCTACTCACTGCCTTCTCCCCACCGGAGTGTTGTTTACGAAATCGAGAGGACGAAAAGCCGATGTCTGGCAGGCGGTTAAACCGGTTTGGTGCATATGGAGGATTCAACTAAGACAGTTAGAAAACCCTGATTCCAAACCAGTAGTGTACATGGTCTCCAGTATCCTGAAGGAATAAATGGCATATGAACCAATCGCTGGTCACTAGCTACCACGGTGTTGCATCTGCTGACGTTGTTCTACTGCTTTGTTAATCAGACCTTTAGGTCAAAGGCTCTGAGTGTAGCCTCCTAACTAAACCACCTATTTCGGTTCGCACACCCGGGTAGTATCCCAGTACTCAAACATATCGAATGATTTATGTGTGTATATCTGTTTGATGCCTTCTTGAACCACTGTTTATATGTTTAAATTAGATAAATAAAATTTCCGAATACAAATGTCAACACAACCAATCTGAAATTAATAAGAGAGTTTGTTTACAATTTTGAATAATTAAATTACAAAGTATTCAGATTATAATAGATGATATCAGCTGTTTTGAGGCTAAATAGAAGTTCAACGTTTAAACACTACAGAGAATGAACTTTCAGAACAAACGCACTACAATACATTGATAAAATTTAAGGATAAATTTCATGAGAAAAGTAGTCAGATGAAAAGAATTTATGTACGCCTAACAGGTATTCATAAGCTAGTGTTCCGTTCATTTCTATTAGTTGTTGTTTAACATCAGCAATTCTTTTCTGTCATAAGGATTGTTATTTATTTTGGCTAGGGTTAGTGATGAGACATAAGATACATAATTCATTTTAATTCGCCCTAATCATCTAGAAGTAAAGTCGAGGATCAGTAAAGCAAGTGCCGCATTCATATAATTGGGGAACATATGGAACTCAAAAGAACCGTCAACAAATACCAAAGTCAGAATCTTTAATATGAACATCAAGATAGTTCTTTCGTATGAAGCAGAAACTTGACGAACTACTCCAGCCATCATCAAGAAGGTACAAGTGTTTATAATTAGCTGTCTACGCAAGATACTCAACATCCATTGGCCGGAGACCATCAGCAACAGTCTACTGTGAGAGAAAATACAGCAGCTTCCAGTTGAAGAGGAAATTAGGAAAAGACGATGGACACACATTAGAGAAATCACCAAACCGCACCACGAGGCAAGCTCTAACTTTAAATCTTGAAGAGAAGCGGAAACGTTGAAAACCAAAAAACACATTACGACGGGGAATAGAAGCACATGAAAAGAATAACAAGCGGAAAAAGCTGGAGAGGATTGCACAGGACGGGGTTGGGTGGAGAGTGCTGATGGGTGACCTAAGCTCCTCCACGAGGAGTAACAGGCGTAAGTAAGTAAGTAAGTAATCATCTAGATGCACCTGAACATTTTTGCTATAGTTCACAATTGAACACATTAACTATCAATTGGAACACTTACCTATATTTCCATTGGATACTGAGTTCAATAGGTTGCCAATGTAAGTGCTAAAACGTTTCACTTAACTAGCCGACTTAATCCAGAACAGTGCTGTCTATTCCACTTTTATATAACATGTAATGGTAAGAAATCAAATAATAAAAAAATAAACCTCTAAAATTTACTAACATATTTTATAAGCAGTTTCCACTTGATCAAATTCATCACCCCAGAAATCAATCAGTATACTTGTCGTTTTTTGTAAATTGGAAGTACTTATTGCAGTGTACAGCTCATCAGCTAATAATATAGATGTGTCTGTTAGTAGATCTTCAAATAACTGTTTCATTAATCCTGATTTAAAGTTTTCTCTTTTGTTCAGTAGAGACTAAATAGTAAAGAAAACAAGAGCTTTAGTGATATTTTAAACTAGGGTGACCAATGACTGCTCAGAAACTTCCTGTTAGACAGATTCCAAAAAATTAGTAGGTATGGATAAACCTCTGTCTTTTTTGTCGTAGTTGATTACAGATAATCACATAAAGAAATGAGAAAGAGTTACTGTGTTCTATTATAGCTTTCATTTGATATTCGTACATGTAGAAAGCAATATGAATTTCAGCTAGGAATCACAATCTTCTCATCTTAATTAGTTAGAAATTAGTTTATCAATTATGATACCAGTAAGTAGAAGTGAAGAAAATAACCGGTTTTAACAAGACGCTTTGCACCATTTGAGATTATGCAAGCTTTTTACAAAGATGTCTTAAGCAGTTACGTTTACTTAATTTCGATGTCAGTAATGAAGCATTTATCCGTCGTTATCTACAATCTACTTGGACATTTCAAATTAACATTCATTTGACGAAACAGTTTTTTAGTTTTTCAAGCTTCTGAAGTCATTCTCGAGGAATTGTTGAGGTCCGTTGATAGGTATTATTGATTTTCGTCACAGGAACTTATTAAATTATCTATCGTTATGTATATATATATACATGGATTCAAAAGTAATTCGTGACAAAGTACCAATCAACAATTGTATGATGAGTAAATAATATACCTCTTCTGAAAAGGGTTTTATTAATGTCCATGTATGAGAAATGTTGAAAACAATTCCTTAAACGTGTTGTCAAGTTACAAGTCTACATATTATTATAGGCTACTCAAAGTATTTGCCTCAGGGGAATTTTGTTTGTATTTAGTGAATGAGAATACAAGTAAAGCAACAGATAAACTGTTTACTCGAGTAACAGAATATGGAACAGGCTGTAGTCAATTTACGTTAGTTGTTTAAATCTTACCATTGATTTTATGGTTTGACACTTACACCAATATGAGCAAATTAGTTATATATTAATTTGGTATTAGTAAAGGTAGGTTTATCACTAACGGACCAATTATATAGACATAAATAGCACCTACTTGAAACTTTAGATTATTTCCCATAATTCACTTGCTATTGTTTACTTGCATCTTCTCATTGATGTTTGGGACTGTAATTGATCAGTCACTTATTGCTGTATGTGCATACTGTGCGTATTGCCTGGATATTTCCTTAATTCACAATCATTATAAGCAAGGTTGGATAGTGGCTAGCAGTGGAATCCAGGAAACGCGAACGGAACTGGGTTCGAGTCTCAGAGTGAACATCATCTATGATATGCAGGCTCATCCAGCTGACGAGTCCCAGATAGGACGAAACGCGCCTCCTGGATTCCAGTGCTAGCCACTACCCATATTTCTTGTGATTGTTTTCAAATGTTAACGATCAGCAAGCGAACAATCTATAATCAGCATACTTGATTTAACTACCCAAAGAGAGGTAGGAATTCCATTTTAAAGAATGAATAACTTATGCAAGGATATAGGTTAGATAATAGATAAATACCTACTAACGACGTGTACAGTCTATTTACGTTAAACCTTAATTAAAGTATTTGCTTGGCTTTAAAATGCTTGACATTAAAGTTATAGAATCAAGAATCAGCATAACATTCTACGATAATAAAGAGTTAGCGATTAACGTTTTATCGCTTCTTCTGAAATACATTTAACAACGATCTGAGTACAAAACATTACTACACAGTATTTAAAAAAGACATCAGATACAAACTTTTTTAAAAATCCTGTTGTACCGATGCACAATATTTTGTCGTTCTGCATTTGGTCTTGACGATAGAATTTCCATAATCATCTCTGTTTGCTGATCTGTGGAGTATCAAAGAATAATGGTTTATTACATTCATCAAATTCTAGACAGATATATGAACGAAAGAATTTCTTTTAAGCGAGTGTTCATTATGTCCTAAGATTATAAATATAAATTAATGTTCCGAATGATGAATTCAAGTTCAAGGAGAACATTGTAGAAGCCACAGTTTATGAGACCAAGGCTTATTATAAGTATAGGTTTTTGTCGAGGTCACAGAACTTTCACAACTTAAATTACATCCATTTGAATTCAGAAAATAATGAACATCTGTTTCGTCCATGAATTTATACCCTCTGTAGTTCAAATCCACCATCTTGACACAGTGAGTATAACTCTTGATTTGTAGTCTTACCTTCCAACACATGGTCTTATGATCACTCGGCTGATATCCAGTCTTGAACACGTATAACTCCAATTAATTCATTATACTGCGCAACTATCTTATGCTAAATGTGGTTAGTAGCTATCTCATATCAGTGTTGCCATACTTCATCGGATATTTCCGAAATGATTTTAAAATGATCTCCAATCATTATTTATAGCCAGAATTGGTCTCATTTAAAAACTCGGTTTATGTTCACACCGCCCTAGATATATGCCAGTTCGTCAACATCATCGGAAATGTAAACATTAGTTGACAAACGATGATGTCCCTATATGTAATACGCTTATTTGCAATTTTTTTTTCTCCCAAAAAGAGTTTTAAACCCGTCTTTACCCTACTAAGAGATCACAATATATATGTGTGGTGTATATTACTGATGTTCATAGATATCAGTAGTATGTAGCACAATCGGAAGTGGAATTTATGCCTGAAAAGGATTAGGAAGATTCAATTGAAGAAAACAGAATGGAGAAAAGAAAGTATAACTGTTAAAACAATAAAAATCAAAAGAATAATGAAACCTGTATAGGACAACTGATGGGAGATGTGAAACCACTTTGTAATTTTGCATTGAACAATAAATTGGTCTTCCCCACTTGAGTTTTCATATTTTTACTCAAATATCCTATGAATATTGGCTTTATATTCAAAGGTTTAATATGTAGGAAAATAGATTACGCCTAAAGTGTTTATTCGCCAGACTTCATATTAGCTGAAATTTCAATAACTGGACAAAAAAAATGTCTCACTGACACAGTATATTAAGAACTTCTCCATTCAACAGTTGATATGTGGGCGATATGTTCATCCTTTGTTAAGATCACAAAAACCAGGCAAACATTCTCAAAAGACTAAATAAGTGTCATTCACCCACCGAATTCACATCCAAAGAAGAACACCTGAATAACATTTCTAAATGTTTTACTTAAAAATTGAGTAATTAGGTCATTACAAAAGAAAACAAACGTAAATCTTATTAGTTTTGCTCTTCTAAAATATTAAAGACTACCATTTAGGCCACATAATTAAAAGAGTAATGCATACTAAATACAGTCGCTGGAAAAACAAAAGCATTACGTATTGCTTTAACAGAAAACCAGTACCTTGAAAGATTGATAAAAAAATAATTAGTCAAGAAAATAGAACAAAATGAAGCATTATTTGTGGGAAATATGCCTCAGGTTTATGAGCCTACCATTTAGAGGTAACGCATTCAATGAGATGGTAGTGCTAAACTAGTACAATGCATTTCACAGAACTTTTAGTGCGATTTAGCTTTAATCCATCTATTCAATGCATCCGACAATGGCTACTAGAGTAGAAGATAAATTACTTAGGTTATCCATCTTTTTCTGTATTTATCAGTTCATCTACCGCTGTAGATCAAGTTACATAGACAACTGTTCTAGGAACTCGTACTGCCGTGCTAAAAATCACATCCCAGTAGGTTTAAGGAAAGGTATTGTAGTATGTGCTACTTATATTAACATAAGTAGTATATGATGTTAGTTGTCGAAAGAAGGTCTGGCAGCAGAGAGACAAGAGGATCGAACAGTAAAGAATGGAAACAGAATGCAATTTGTATGAAAATATTATTTACATTTATGCATATTATTAGTAGTCTTATGACATCAACTGACTCGTAGGTCGAATCATGAAAAGATTGTTCACTTGTAATTTGAATATTTACAATCTCAACTATACTGTATTACACCAACAAACCTAAATTTTATCAATATTAACTTATTGTAACATTTTAGCATAAAATATTTACTTTTGATTAGCATAAATGATAATATCCATTTACCTTTGGTAGTATTTCCTATTCTGTAGACGTCTTCATCAGCCGATGTACCATAACTAAATACCTTTGGTTCATAAAGAATTCCATTTATATTAACGTGATGAAGAGGTGAACGAATGAATGGTGGTCTAAAATGATAGATAACTGTACTGATTTTAAAATTCAAAAGATAAAATCCAATTTAAAATCTATCTATTTAATAATAACATATTCCAGATTGAGTGTTCCCAAATGCTCTTGTACGGCCGAGAGTGGGGAGAGTCAACTCTCCCTCAAATGACCACTTGCATACAACCACTGACAGAAAGTCCTACTCCCTGTCTTCTCGCATCATGTGTGTTGTTTACGAAATTGAGAGGACGAGAAGTCGATGTCCGGCAGGGGCTTAAACAGGTTTGGTGCATATGGAGGATTCAACTAAGAGAGTTGGAAAACCCTGATTCCAAACTCATGGTGTACCCGAGCCTCAGTATCCTGGAGGAACAAATGGCGTACGAACCAATCGTTGTTCACCAGCTAACAAGGGACTGCATCTTCTGACGTCGCTCTACTTATTTGTGGATTAGACTTTTAGGTCAAAGTCTCCAGTTGTGGTCCCTTAAGAAAACCACCTACTTTGGTTTGGGCACAATGGCAGTGTCCTAGCCCTTACAAAAATCGAATGATTTGTGTGACGCGCATCTATTTGTTGCCTCTTTGTACTAATGTTTATGTGCTTAAATAGATAAATAAATAAAAGTTTTAAAACGCGGGGATACGAAAGAAAGCTAGTTAACCAAAGATAAAAGTTATAACTATTTCTTGTAATAACACTTAATGACACACAATCGACAGGATTTAGGTTTATCAATGTATAAAATTAAGATTATAAGCATGTCTAGGCTACATCGTTGAGTCTTCTATGAAAGATTTACTTTTTGGATCCTAGTAATAACTTAACAGTTTTAAACTAAACCCTCAACAGAATATTACGATTCTCATATTACAGTTGAAAGATCATTTGTTTCAGTGTTAAAAGTATATTTCATTGTTCAGTCGTCCTCTAGTTGTCAGTGACAGAACTTGAAGTAGATTCAAAATATACATTTCAAATAATATATAAACCGTTTTTAAAAAGTTTTTCCATTAATTGACTGTGATCCGGTTGTGATTGGATTTGTAAGGAAATGATCGGTTCTGTTTTGCAAAAAACTATGATTAGCACTTAGCGACTTTGAAATGAATTACTGCCTCATCGTTATATGTTCATAGTAAGCATTTTATCATAGACCTCTATATTACTTAACAAGCAATATGTTTAAGGTTAAGGTTAACATTATTCACTGATACGATTCGATCCGCACTAGGACACGACGTACATGACATTGATCACCACACTTTGATAGCTCAGTGGTAACCCCTCTGACTGTGAAGTTGGTTGACATGGGATCGAATCCGTCAGAGAGTATCGGTTCCCTCAAGATAACAGGTACACCTTACTGACGAGTGCCAAATAACACGAAACCTGGATTCAGGGTTTCCAGTTGACTACCTCCAATAATCCCTTTATATCGACATAATGTATGCAATGTTGAGTCATGAAGACTACTGACCACATTGCAACTTGGTCTATAGGATTCAATTTGCACTAACAAGGACCTGATCATCACCCAGTGATCAATTAATTGTAGATTATTCATCACCATTTTGTATTTTGAACAGATTTACAGGTCTCTCATTACAAATCAGATTGCATTAAAATCGTTTTATATTTTTCAAGTATCTGACAGAACAAAGACCTAACGACGTTAAATAACAACTGTTTGTCAGCTAAAAATATAAAGTCATAAATATTCATTTCAAGAAATCTCCAATTCTTCAAATACTCGATCAACGATGACATCTTAAGTAAAGATACATGTTGAAAAGCTTTCGTAATTGTTTTTATCTCTAATTTGGTATATATAGAGTGAAGATAACTATATTACTCATTGGCTGTCTATAGCCAGTCACATTATGAGAGAAGTTATCGAAGTTTAGGTTATAATTAGAAGTCTAATAACATTTTAAAAAGACACTACACAATCTGGTTTGGTACATTAGTCGAAACAACATATTCATATATGTAAAGTAAACGAAATTGTAGTTACTTTGTTAGGTTCTACAAATCGGAACAAACTATCGATGATTTTCAGCCGTAGTGTCGGTTATTAAGTTGAGCCCATATAATTTATTCTAGCTTTCGGACAATCAAATCTATTCATTCCAACTAAGTCACATTTTGACCTTGTTAATTATTCGCTTATCAATCTTCACTGTTTTTATATGAGCGCATATGTGTGTGTCCTTCTTATCTTAATCATCACATGTATGTGACATATTTTTGTGTGACTATGTTGATTAACGCTTGGTTAAATGGAGTTGGCTTACCCTCCATTTCTAGTGCGCGTCATTTACCTTCGCTCTCTTCGATTCGCTTCATTCCTCTGATTTCCAGTCCAGATCTATGAGTGTACAAAATATACGCATTCAAAAATCCATTCTCGTATTTGACTTATTTATTTCCGATATTCATTAACGCGATTTATGTCGATGACTATATACGAGGATTGACGATATGTATGTCTTAATAGCAATCAGAAACTATGAAACTGGAGTCAGGTCCCGGGCTACTAAGGATCAAACAATCTACTTTTGATGATGTCAATATATAATTTTCATTGGATAATTGCATTCCATTCAATCATAATTTATATTGTGAAGAAATGAACTCTGTTACCGATTTTCAGTATGGGTTGTGAAGGTTATTAAGTTTTTGATTGAGATAACGAGACGATTGATGTTAGACCACCATTGAAAACCTGGAAGCACTGGATGACCATTTCGTCCAGTTGTGGGACTCCTCAGCAGTACGTATCCACGATCCCCGTTGCCGGATTTGAACCCAGGGCCTCCAGTCTCCCGCGCGAACGCTTGAACTCTATACCACTGAATTTGCTGGCATCCAAAAATGTTAATGTCCAACCCCAAACAATCCACTAAATCGCGCGACCACCTTCTATTGTACTGAAGTAAATACCTGTCTCTACCAGACGCGGATTAGTTCAAATTTCACTGTTCTGACATATAATGTTATCTAATCAAATTGATAATGTATCCCTTATTACGTTTATGATAAAATATTAATCATGGATCTGTCAACATGAATTCTGATGAATTTACTCATAGCCATTTTAACTCAAGTATTTCTAGTATTTAAATATTCAAGTAGATATTCCAAATATTTTCTATGGTATAAACGACTACCTTGATTGAATATTTACTCAACGGTGGGAATCAATTTTTGAAAATAAAAATACATTTTCGAATTTAGAATTAGTATTACACTGAATTATTATTAAATATAAGTGGAAAAGAAGAAGGTCAAAGAACACACTGCGTTGAGAATTGGGAGCAAACATCAAAATGATGAATAACAACTGGAAAAGATTGTTCAAGACAAAGTTGGATGTAAAATGTTGGTGAGTGGTCTATGCTCCTCCACTATGGGTATCAGGCATATATAAGTAAGTAGGAATTAATGAATGCTATATAATAATTTCAACGATCATAAGTCCAACTGGACATTACAGAAACTGTTTCAATACATATAAACTTACTTTTGTTCATCATAAGACTGAAATTGAAATGAACATGAAATGTTTATCAGTCAGTCAAAAAATTGAAAATAGTCGGATTCATTGCATAACATTATTCTGTTTCCATAACTCATATTAACATTAGTTAGCTATTAATAAACGTGTATAAAACGAGAATAAATTAAGATTCTACTAAAGCAAGCTGTATTGATATTTCGGCGAGACTATAATTTATGGACGAACCAGTCGGATATAAGATAGCCCTAAATCTGCCCATCGACTGTAAATCATAATTTTAATTTTTCACATTGGTTTATAACCCTCATTTGATCCTAGTAATTAGGTGGACACTATCAAAGTCACTTTCGCGTATGATTTTACTATGATATTCTGTAATTTTGTGTTCAAAAGCATTCGATTGTCCACACTTGTGTTCACGTTCACTACAATATGATACATTGTCAAAAGTGTTGGTTAAATGGATCATTATCTAACACACACGATTTCATGTAAGTTTTATATTTTAAAGCAAAAATCATATTTATAATCACAATATATAACGTTTAACGTTATTAAACGTATAGTGTATTTGTATCAGATGGGTTTTCATGTATATTATAGTAATTTCAATAGTTGAGATCATGAGTCAATTGAAGCTAGACCACCATGAGAGATCTAAAAGCACTGGACGACTGTTTCGTCCTACTGTAGGACACTTCAGCAATGCGCATCCATGATCTCACTTCGCAAGATTCGAACCCAAAACCTATCGTTCTCACGCGGCATATTTACAAAAATTATTGATAACAGTTCAACTTACCGTAAGTAACAATAATATAATTTCTGTTAGAATAAAATGTAAACCATTTAATAAATCTAATAACATTTTCACAAAGAGTTCAGTTACGTATATGATTACATCATAGTTTAATACTATTTAAATGTATATCATGAATTGACCAATCACACATAGCAGGGTGTAAATAGTTAAGATGACGAATTTCATTCCATAAATGTAAATAAACAATCATAATGATGTTTTGAAGTTGAAATTTTAGTGCATGACATATACACAATCCTGTTATGTTCGTATATATGGATTGATTGTTTTAGATGTAAACAAAAATATCATCTGATCGAGATCATACCGATGTTTGTATTGTTTATTTGCCTAAATGTAATTGTGTACAGATCCGGTGTAATCTTATAAATTATTGTTTAAATGTGAATGATAATACTTGAAATATAAATTTTTAAAGTAAAGATGGATAATGGCTAGCAGTGGAATCCAGGACGCGTTTCGTCCTATTTGGAACTCGTCAGCTGGACGTAACTACATCCCAGACTTGTTGATGTTCACCATGGGACTTGAACCAAGTACCGTTCGCTTCAAACGCCATCGCGATAGCGAAATAAAAATTCCTGGATTTTACTGTTACCCACTATCCATATTTGCTTAAAAGGGTTGTGAATTAAGGCAATGTTAAGGCAATCCGCACAGGATGCACATATGAGACTGATCAATCGCAGTCCTAAATAACAATGGGAAGATACAATCAAAACAATACCAAGTGTATTGATAAAACTTTTGTTATCATATTTTATTATTATTGCTACTGTCAGTACATCTATCTTCTTACTATCAAGTTTTACTTTTACCTATTATGTGCGGAGACGTAATCTGTTTCTCATTGTGATTAATAACTCAAATCGACTTGATTGGTTCAACATTACCGTATAAATATTCATGTATATTAGAGTAAATCCTAATGACGATCTAATTGAAAACAATTGTTCGCTTACATGTGTTATTCTGATTTTATTTATTACCGAAGTAATAGTAATTATGATAAAACATTGAATAGAATACTGATTATCATTACTAGATTTATGTAATGAAGAGTGGTAGTGTGGTGCGTGCTACTTATATTGACATAAGTAGTATATGATGTTATTTGCGAACAGAATGTCTGGCATCAGAGAGACAAGAGGATCGAACAGTAAAGAATGGAAACAGAATGCAATTTGTATGATAAATACACAAACAATGAAGTTTGAGTCATTTTGAGACAATTGGCGGACATTTTGAAAATTAAGCATTTACTTTATGATTGTTAGATTTTATTAACAAGTCCTGTAATTTTGTGTTAAATACATTCGATTGTCCCCATCCGTGTTCTGTTCACTACAGTAGCAGTGATACAACGGAACAAATACTTAAAAAAAATAGTAATAATTAAAATCGTCATTCAAGCGCATACCAGATTAAGCCTTTTCAGTTGCGTGTGATAATTTTTAGATTATCTTGCGCAGAAAACATTGTGATATGACTTAAATGTCAGCTGAATAACCAGGCATATAAAGAAGATAATATTGAAGACATTTTAAACTGCTCGACTCTCCATTATCGCACAGACGAAATGCGTATAATGTGAAAATTGTGTAGCATACGTTCTCAAAGATGAATACACTATACATGTGAACGAATTGGACGAAATTAGCAAGTTCACTCTGAACAAACTTTAGTTTATCGTAACTACTTTTCCAGAAAACAAATTAACGTAATGAATATCAAGTAAAAATTATTACGATTTTTTCCGAAGAGTTATAAATGACATGTCCTTTTGAGGCTAAGAAAAATCAACTAATTCACGTGGAATCGACCGTCTTGTGTTTGAGCCACACCTGTGGGATTATGGGTGAGCTCTATAGAGGAGTTCCATAAAAGAACGGCACATCTGGTCGGTGCTCCCACGTTTTTAGTGGTGATCTAACAGTGATCGGCTTATGATTTCAATGAATGAATTTGAACATTAGCATTTTCTCAAACTGTTCAATTTTAACTACGTATAATTTTACTTTACGTGCTCTATAGTGTAACATAATATTCTGTAGGCTGTTATTAATTTTGTCTTAAATTTAATACACAACTTTCATTTTGTTGTAATCGAATAAATTATGTAATGTATTTATGTAATCTCGTAATGCAATGTAATGTAATCGTATAGTGATTCATGCATTGTGTGTATACAGTTGTACAGATACTTCACTAGGATCGATGATTTTATTAGTCATCTGCAAATTTACAAGCGCTTTAGCCCATCTTCAGTTTCATCACTGGATATTGATAGCATTCAGATTTTTGCTGTTGGTTTCTCCTATTTCTTGTGCTACGGATGGGTATAATGTTTTGCTAGGGTTCTTATACGGACGGTCAGCTGTAATAAGCAGAATGTGTGAATAAAACTCAGGAATTGAACCTGAATGAAAGGGCACAGAGATCAAACCAGACTTAGTCCAGCCATTCACCTCGGATATTTGTGTAGTCAGAGGCTATTGGTACCCCTATATAAAGACGTCTAATATTATTATCTCGTAAACAGACATACCCTTCTAACTACACTTGTAGGTACCATCAATACTTGGGACATCGGGAAATCGACGAGCTATATTTGCCGATCTACTTTTGAAACGAAGTAGAATTACAAAAATCAGACACTTTACGATGCACCTGTAGTGTCTGTTTTTAAGTTAAGCCCATATAATTTATTCTAGCTTTCGGACAATCAAATCTATTCATTCCAACTAAGTCACATTTTAACCTTGTTAATTATTCGCTTATCAATCTTCACTGTTTTTATATGAGCGCATATGTGTGTGTCCTTCTTATCTTATTCATCACATGTTTGTGACATATTTTTGTGTGACTATAAATGTAGATTGACGCTTGGTTAAATGGAGCTGGCTTACCCACCATCTCCACTGCGCTTCGTTTTGTTTCGCTCTTTTCTCTTTTGTCTGGATCAAAGATTGTAAGAAATATACTTGTCCGAAATTCATTTTCATATTTGACCTATTGAATCGCGTTATTGACTAACGTGATTTATGTCGATGATTTTGTACGAGGATAAGCGACATATACATTTCGACAGAAATAATTTAATAACAATCATTCATACGATCTACTTGGAGTCAGATCTCGGGCCACTAAACGCCTCTAAGCTCAATGATATATGTAGCTAACGTTTTCATAGTCAATACTTGGTAGAGACAATAACCAAGGTTGCACTAACCTGGAAGTTTCAATCGCTCAAGTAACAGTCATCGAACCTTGGACGCTGATTTCCTAACCGCAATTTGCATACACGAAACTGATAACAACGAAAACTGCAGCTCCGGACATCACAAACTACAAAAGCTAAGATCAGCCTCATAAGTGATACTGAGCAGCCTGTTATTGCAACAAACTGGCCAAGTGAATACCGCATAAATTCTTCCATCAGCCGAATAAATATATAGGATTTACAACCACTACCAAGAGGCCATCTAGACCAATGGATAAAGAATTACCTGCGCAAAAATCCTCGTGTCGCTTCAGAAGTTGTTGGACGCTGAGTGCGATACTTCCTTCTGCATACATATTTTATGTGGAAATCATTTATATTTCGATGACTGTATCGTATTATGAAATGGATAAAGTCGCATCCTCGAAAGCGCTGAGTAGTCTCAGGAGTTCCGCCTCCATCGTAAATTTTGCATCAACAAACATCTCTCTGAAAATCAAATCAGCTTCAACGGCGCTGACTACAACTGATATTACTGAATCAAATTCACAACGTTTATGGGCTTAAAAATGAGCATTCTATTAGCCGTCTAAAATGACGCCGTTGATTGGTATAAAAAGGTATAGGTGAGTAGTGTGTGCACGATTTTCAAATACATTTCACGTCCTCCAAAATTTATTTCCGTTAAATCATAGTACCCAAGTTTCTGGGTTTGATTAGAAGTATTCTTGCTTGTGATAACTCATTATTTGGCTATGAATTGTGCATCGTTGTAATCTGATGAGTTACGATCAGTGTCACACTAACAATTTTGATTGAGAGTCAAAATTTGCATTTTATAATTTAGATCTTATTCTACTGAAAATATTTTGTCGGACGGTTTTACCATCATTGAATATAAAATCATAGAGGTATCCCAAAGAACGGATATGATCATCTTAATTGTGATCTGGACGCCAAAGTCGGAATGGAATACACAGCTTACGAACATATCATGGGACGACATGGACTGGGAGAGGAACCAAAATGGTGACCGATTTGCAAATTTATGTGCATTTAATGAATTAGTTGTTGGTGGTGTAATATTCTCACACAAACGCATACACAAAGCTACATGGATCATACCGGATCACACTACGCAGAACCAGATCGATCATATTTGTATCAGTAAAAAATTCAGAAGGGTAATGGAAGAAAAGAGAATCAGAAGAGGAGCTGGCATGGTTTCAGATCATTAACTGGTGCTTTTCGAGCTGAAACGCAAGCTTATGATGGACTGAACAAACGGAAAAACAGCATTTCAAAGGTTTGTTACAGCCTTTCTTTGAGATATTGACAAACTTAGTGAATTCAAGATCGCTCCCAATAACAAGTTCCAAGGCTTACAAGATCTATTCAACGAAGAAGAAACTACTATGGTGGATAATTGGATGGAAATAAGAAAAGCATGAACTTCAACGTGTCAGGAGTTTCTGGGCTTCAATAAGCATCATCTTAATTAACGTAACTCTATAGAAACCCTGGACAAGATTCAAGAAAGTAAGAACAAGAAGTCATCAATCAACAAAAGCCGAACAAGAAAAGAGGAAGTTGAGGCACAGGCCGAATACACGGATGCGAACATGCACGTGAAGTGGAGCATTAGATTTAACGAGCGGGAGTACGTGTGTTAAGTTTGTCTTACGTTGTTCCTACTCGTTCCCTTTCCTCTCTTTTGTATATTGTTTTATACTACTTATTTATATTCAGTAAGCAGTTGTACGCCCAACAATTTTCACACTTATGTTGTAAGTCAAGTTGTACCGTAACATTCTGAAATGTTCACATATATACATTAAC